CGGGCTGCTGGCCACAGCCCGCGTGCAGCGCGAAAAAGGGCTCGGGTCGCTCCCGGCCCGCACATGAACCACCATCCACGGAAACACAGAATGGCCTAAGATTTGTGATTCTTGCTAATTTCACTTTGAGTGGGTTTAAGATTTATTGCAAATACTGCCTGAAGGTCTACCAGTTGTAGAATAAATCTTCACCGTTCCAGAATCCTTTATAAAATGGATATTTTCATCATTAATCAGCAATAAACTGATACAATCATTTGATCATTAATTCATAATAAAGTCAAGTCTCCATTCATGAGGAAATCATTTGTAGAAAGAGCTACAGAAATCCTAGTGTGTTCTTTGTGGCAGAGATGACAGAAATCAAATTAACCCTTTATTTTTGTATAATTTATTTTAGTGATGGTTTCAATTATTTTCTTCTATTCATCATTGAAAAGTTGATTCCATGTTAACATTTCCAATCAGTTGAATTTGATTGAGCATTGACTGACCTCAACCTCCTGACCTTCTGAAATAATTTATTACTATTCTTTCAATGGAGATTCGAGATAAACTGTACGTTTCATTACACATGGCATTGGAAAATAGTTTTTTCATTATCTTACACAAAGAAATGCTAAGAAAAATTCTTGCATATACACCCTGATTTCTGTGGTTTAACAGAATTACTTTACAAAACATTATATTTCAAAACATTCATTACATTTTGTCTTACAAAAACCAATGTAATATGGCTATCATTCTAGCTGTCATGTTGATGTTCTCTTGTCATTTCATATTGTGGCCACATCTACGCCAAGTTGACTGATAACTGGACAAAACTCCACTGAGTACAATTCCAGTTACCCCAAGAGGGAACCCAGAAGCAATAGCCCCTTCTCACCCTAGAATTAGTGGCCACCTTTCACATATCTTTAGAGGGAGCTAAAGCTATGCAGAAGCTACAGACTCTAAAATCCAGGATGTCCAATTTAGTCCCCACACACTTGTCAAATGCCAACACTACAGAGACATGGATAGGGACAAAAGAGGAAAAGGGAAACTCAAAGTGGAAGGAAGAAAGGGAGAAGCACTGAGGTACAGGGAGAAAGAAAAAAAACAGGAAATATGGAAAGCCATGATGAAAAACTTTAAAAGCCTCCTAAGTGAAACTGATACATGGAAGCTATTACTATGTATATATCACTTATTCCATCCTCGTGTCAACAAAATGATTCCATGTGCATCTTTTAACTTCCAAACATAAACTATTTGTTTAGTTTTAAAAATGGAATTGAATTAAGAAATTCTATAATAAATTTAATGGATTTAAAACTCCTTAATGTCAAGCAAAGTTTACATATAAACCCTGAAGAAAACTTAATCAATTATTCCAGAGGACCAAGTAAAACAAGTTGGTAGGTTTAAGTGATTTCAAGTAAAGCTCTATTGGCCACCCAGGGCACACATCACAATCTGTTCCTGGCAGACAGTGGCAAAATATTTACATCTCATGAGAAATTCTGACTTCTAGTTACATAGAAGAATTCAAACTAAGAAATTACCATCCAAAGTGACTCCTATTAAGCCAGATATAACAAGAGAGTTTGCTCTAAAATAATCACAAGCCACACCTATCTGAAATTTAGAACTCAATACTCAAAGCTAAAGACTGATCCTGATCCTATATATGCACATGCTTAACTTTATTCATTTAAGTAGTCCTATTGACTTAACTGGACATAAGAGTATCTTGAATCAATAGCTATTGTACCTTTTAGTCCAGCTCAGTAATCCTATAATTTGTTTTGTAGCATAACTATTCAGCCCTATATCTGTGCTGCAAATATAAGACAGAACTCTATTTTCTAGGGCAAAGGAGGGAAGGTCCTCCCCCACCCCTTTAAGATTGTACATACAGCTTTGGCATGTGAACAGCAATATCTCATACTCAAAACTCCAGGGAGTTTTAACCTGCCTCTAGCTAAAAGGTATACAATTTTTAGTTTGCAGTAGAGTGTAAAAATCACTCCAATTAAATCAAGTTAAAACTGGTCTGACCAGTGTTACTGATCCCCCAAATAATTCAAGTCAGTTTAGAAAAATTAAATGTTGGTTGTAATGTTAGCTAAGCTTTTATGTTGAAATAAATGCAACATTGTAAAGCAACAAAGTGTAAGTAAACACTCTATATCTCCTGAATGTTTACAAAACATTAATACAAAGATGGAGTTTTTAAAATAATTATCTTGTTTCACCAATTCTGTGTTTGTTACAATATTCAATAATATAGCCATTGCATCCTACAATGTGCCAAACCGTATCATCATTAGCCACTTGAAGTTTGACCTCAGACAGCTGTGCTGGTGTATTATGAACAGGGTCCAAGTTGTGCTGTCATAAAATGGTTATTCGTATTATCCAAAATATTTACTTTATAACAATTTTACCTCTTGCCAGTGTAGTAGGTACACTTTATTCTTGTACTTCTCTGGTTAGGCCTAAGTGACCATTTAATTCCCTGTGTCACCATCACATAACTACCCACCTCTCATGGGAAGTTGAAAATTTGATATATTTCTCACAGTAACTTTGCCTAGGTTGGGAAAACAAAGGTAATGTCAAGCTTGTCACTATGCTCCTTATGTGTGCCATGTCAATAAAACTATTAGTCCCAAGTCTTGCTTGTCATTCTTTGGTGTCCTAAAACCTCTAACAGCCACATGCACTGGGAGAGTGGGAATGATTTCTGTTCTCCTACACCGTAGGTATTTTCCTGCAGGGAGGACAAAGGTTAGTCTGATTGGTTTCCTGTCAAAATAGCTGGGTTTCTGACTCTTTTGATCACTTTCCCCTGGCCTTTTGCAGTTACTCTGATTAGAGACTGATCCCTGTGCTGCTCTTTGATCAGCAGCCCTGGCAGTCTGCAGGTGCCATATGTCATCACATTAGCAGGCAGCAGCAATATTAATCTCCCCTGCTAAATTTGATAACACACTACACATTCTACTAATTCATACAGTGGCTGAAAACAGCTTCTGACTTCTTTATTTGCTTTGCATTAGAAGATACCATACTGCAAAAGATACCAAGGGAATCCCAAGTTCAAACCTGATAGTTTGGGTTGAATTGAGACAGTTTTTAAACCTGAAATTGTTGTTGTTGCCTGTATGTCATCTAGAACCTACCAAAACTTTTGAAGTTTTCTTCTTGTGTTTTTGCATTGGTTTGTGTCTAGGAAGAAATAACATCATTCTAACCTGACATGCAAGCTGCTATTTTTCCCCCCTTACATTAGCATACATCCCTGGAAAAGAGGGTGCTTAATAACCTCATTTTAGATATTCTGCACTAAGTGTGGTTTCATGTGGCGCAGGACATTTCTGCTGGTAAAATATTCTTTAAATGACTTCATAATCACAGATCAAGTGACAAGGCGTTGAAAAAAATCTGAATAATGTAAATCATATGGAGTTCAGAGGCTAAGCAAATTACACACCCTGAAGCTGCCCTCTCTGCATGAAAGGAGCCTTTCTCCAGCTCCGCACAATCCCAGCCCAAGGGAACTTGCATTTGAGAGTTTTCTAAACATTTCAGGTACACTTGAAAGCTGAAAGTAATTCTCATTTCCTAGGCAGGATTAGCTCGTTTCCAGCCCATACAAAATAGAGCTCATTCACCAACACACACTAAAAAAAAAAAGCCCTACCCCCAGAGCCCTAAGGACTGAGGGCACCAAGGTGTGTTTAAAAAACAAAAAGAAAACACAACAAAACAAAAAGAAGAAACATTTCAAAGTCTACCCAGAAAATAAAGCTCAACCTGGGAACGAACGTCTTTCTTTGCTCTCTTTAACGGGTACCCTTTTACCTATAGTGCTTCACTTAACCAGGCTGACAAGTTTCCTAGAGTGACACACACACACAGCGGGGTCAGACCTGCCAAGTCTCATTCATTTTGGCTTCGATCTTAAAGACTCACTCTGGCGAGGAAGAGTTCCCCCCCACCCCTTTCCCCTTGCAGTGAGTTTCAATGCTATTTGTAAGATATTTGCTAAAGCTTCCCTTCCACTTGAGAGCATGGCCAGGGCTGGGTGAGGGTGCTAGCTTTTATTGGACCAACTTTGCAGCTGGGATAACATTAGCCAAGCTCAGTGACAGCCCTGCCTGGGAAGCTGCAAAGTGAATTGCAACTCTCCTCCCCACTGCATGCAGACGAATAGTGCATGTGTATGTGCATATGTGTCTGTGTGTATATATGTATATGTATGTGTATATGTGTGAGAGTGTATCTGTGTGTGGGTGTCTGCATGTGGGTTTTTGTATGTGTGTGTGTATATGCCTGTGTGTGGGTGTCTGTGTGTATATATATATGTGTGTGTGTGTGTATGGGTCTGTGTGTGGGTGTGTATATATGTACATGTGTGCATGTGATTGTGTATGTGTATGCAGATAGATAGATAAATAGATAGATATCTGCATTGGGGGTGTCTGTCTGTGTGCGGGTGTCTGTGTGTGTGTATATATATGTGTGTGGGTGTGTATGTGCATGTGGGTGTCTGTTTATGTGTGTGTGTATTGTCTCTGCATGTGGGTGCTTGTGCATATGCATGTGTTTGTATGCATCTGTGTGGGGGTGTATGTGCATGTGTGTCTACATGTGGGTACCTGTGTATATGTGTCTGCATGTGTGTGGGTGCCTGTGCATTTGTGTGTGTGTGTGTGTGTGTGTGTGTGGGCAGGTGTGTATGTATGTGTCTGCGCATGGGTGCCTGTGTATATGTGTGTGCATGTGTGTGCATGTGTGTCTGCCCATGGGTGCCTGTGTATACATGAAGGTGTGTATGTGTCTGCATGTGTGTCTGCGCAGGGGTACCTGCATATACACGTGTGTGTGTGTGTGTGTGTGTGTGTGTGTGTGGGCGGGCGGAGGTGCCCATGCGGGTGTGCACGCGCGGGTGCCCGTGCGGGCGTGTTGGGGGTGCGTGCCCGCGTGTCTCTCTCTGCCCCGGGCCTCACCGTTGTGCTCCTTGGCGCTGGCGAACTGGAGCTTGGCGCTGAGGCTGGACTCCGCCCGGGCCCCGCGCCGCGGGCCCGGCCCGGCCAGGGCTGTCAGCAGGAGGACGCCGAAGAGCAGCATCGGGCTGCCGGGGGGGCGACGGCACCGCACACGCCGGGCACTCGCAGCTCCGCGACCGGTCCCGCCGCTGTCTCAACACCCCCGGCCGAAGGCTGCGCCGCGGGGGAGAAGGCAGCACTGAGCCTGCTCGGGCAGCGGAGAACGGCAGGGTACTTTCCGCATAATCCCATCCAAAAAACTTTTTCCTAGAGCCTTGTCTCCGCGCCTCCAGGTCTCTCTCTCGCGCTCTCTCTCTCTCTCTCTCTCTCTCTCTCTCTCTCTCTCTCTGAAAGGATCAAAGCAAGCGCTGGACGCCGACCAGCTTCCCCAGAACTAAACAATCCCCGCGCGGCGCTGCCTGGGGCTGGGCCGGGCCGGGCCGGGCCGGGCGAGGCGAGGCGGGTGCGGG